TTCCTGCTCCTCTAATGCTGCTTGGCCTGCTGCGTTCATCCAGCTCTACACCTTGTTATCTCAGATTCTCCAGCATCTGCAGTTCCTACTATCTCTGGATAGTTGGAGTCTTTTTCCCCAGGGTGGAAATGTCAAATACTAGGGAGCATACATTTAGTGTGAGTGGGGAAAAGGTTAAGGGAGATGTGCTTTTTTCCCCACACAGAAGGTGGTGGTACCTGGAACATGCTGCCAAAGGACATGGTAGAAGCAGATATGATAGCAAAGTTTCAGAGACCTTTACACAGACACATGAACAGGCAGGGAATAGAGGGATACAGACCATGTGCAGGCAGATGCAATTAGTTTAGAATAGCACCACGGGTGGCACAGACATGGTGGGCCAAAGGGACCTGTTCCTGCGCTGTACTTTTTTTATTCATTCATGGGTCGTGGACATTACTGGCTGGCCAGAAACTACTTCCCATCTCTAGGTGCCCTCGATAAGATCCTTGTGAGCTGCCTTTTTAAATTGATGCAATCCACGTCCTGTGAGTTGACCCACAATGCCCTTAGTAAGGGAATTTCATGATTTCCACTCAGCGACAGTAAAGGAACAGTGATATATTTTCAAGTCAGGATGGTAAGTGCCTTGGAAGGGAACTTGCAGGTGGTGGTGTTCCCATGTACCTGGTGCCCTTTCCTTCTGAGTGGAAGTAGTGACAGGTTTGGAGGGTGCTGTATAAGGATCACTGGTGAATTTCCACAGTTCATCTTGTAGATAGTACACACCGCTGCTGCTGAACATTGGTGGTGGGGGAAGCGGATGTTTGTGGATGTAGTACTGATCAAGTGGGCTACTTGGTCCTGGATGGCGTCACACTTCTTGAATGCTGTTGGAGTTACAACCATCCAGGCAAGTGGGAAATATTCCGTCACACTCCTGACATGAGCCTTGCAGATGATAGACAGGCTTTTGGGAGGCAGGGGGTGAGTTACTCACCGTAGTATTCCTAACTTCTGACCTATTCTTGTATCCACTGTGTTTATGTGGCGAGTCCAGTTGAGCTTCTGGTCAGTTGTAACCCCAAGGATGTTGATAGTGAAGATTCGGTTAGGGGTAACACCATTGAAAGTCAAGGAGCCGTGGTTAGATTGTCTCTTATTGGAGATGGTCATAGCATTCATTCCACACAAATGCCAGGCAATTTACTACTGGTCATCCCAAGCCTGGATATTGTCCAGATCTTACTGCATTTGAATATGGGCTGCTTCAGTATCTGAGGAGTCACGAATGGTGCTGAACATTGTGCAATCATCAGCGAACATCCCCACTTCTGACCTTATGATGGAGGGAAGGTCATTCATGATGCAACTGACAATGGTTGGGCCTAGGATACTACCCTGAGGAACTCCTGCAGAGACGCACTGGAGCGGAGATGAGGTTGTAATGAGGTAAGGAGCTGACTGGTCCTGGCAGAATCCAAACTGGGCGTCACTGACCAGGTTAGTGCTGAACATTGTGCAATCATTGGTGAACATTACCACTTCTGATTTAGGGAGGGAAGATTATTAATGATGCAACTGAAGGTAGTTGGGCTTAGGACACTACCCTGAGGAACTCGTGTAGAGATATCCTGAAGCTAAGATGACTGACATTCAACAACCACAGCCATCCTCCTATCTGCCAAGGAGAGTCTGCCCACTGATACCCATCAATTCTAGTTTTGCTAGGGCTCCTTGATGCCACACTTGGTCAAATGCAGACTTGATGCCAAGGGCTGTCACTCTCACCTCACCTCTGGAATTCAGTTCTTTTGTCCATGTTTGAACCAAGATTGTGATGAGATCAGGAGTTGAGTGGCGCTGGCAGAACCCAAACTGGGCGTCACTGAGCAGGTTATTGCTGAGCAGGAGCTGCTTGATAGCACTGTTGGTGACACCTTCATCACTTTACTGATGATCGAGAGTAGAATGATAGGGCACTAATTGTCCGGGTTGGATCTGTCCTGCTTTTTGTGTGCAAGACATATCTGGACAATTTTCCACATTGATGGCTAGATGTCAGTTTTGTAACTTTACTGGAAGAGCTTGGCTAGTGGAGCAGCAAGTTCTGAAATATTATCACAGCCCATAGCCTTTACAGTATCCAGTGCCTTCAACCATTTTTTTGATATCACGGAGACTGAACTGAATAGGCTGAAGACTGGTGGTAGGAAAGTCAACGTTTCGGGCCGAAACTTTGACTTTCCTACTCCTCGGATTCCAACTGACCAGCTGTTCTTTTCCAGCTCCACATTTATTGACTCTAGCTTGCAGCATCTATGGTCCTTACTGTCTCCAAGTGGCTGAAGCTGGTATCTGTGATGCTGGGACCACTGCAGGAGGCGAAGATGTTTCATCCACTCGGCATTTCTGGCTGAAGATTGCTGCGATTGCTACAGTTTTGCTTTTTGCACTCACTTTTTTGGGCTCTTCCATCATTAAGGATGTGGATATTTGTGGAGCCTCCTCCTCCTCCAGTGAGTTGTTTAATTTCTCACCACCATTCACGACAGGATGTAGCAGGGCCGGAGGGCTCAGATCTGATCTGTTGATCATTTTTATGTCTGCCAGGTACTGCTCTTGGCACGCCCTCCTGCACGCTCCACTGAATTAGGGTTGATCCCCCGGCTTGATGGTAATGGTTGAGAGGGGGATATGCCGGGCTATGAGGTTGCAGATTGTGCTGGAGTACAATACCACTGCTGCTATTTGACCACAGCCCAGACCATAGATGCCCAGTCTCGAGTTGCTAGATCTGATCGGTCTGTCCCATTTAGCACCGTTCTATGTTAGTACTTTGAACTTATCCTTTTGAATCTATACAAGTTGTCCTTGACTATCCCAAACGTCGTAAAATACTTGAATTTGGTTTTGAATTCTGCGCTTAACGCTAGCTAAATCTCCCTTCTGCTGGAAACATTGGCAAATCTGAGATGTTGGAATGATTGGGCAGAATCTAATGCTCTCCCCTATAATGAATGCTGTGGTAGGCGGCCATTTAATCAGTCAAGAGGGTGATGGCTGGGTACGCTGCTGCCCTTTCAAACTCCTCCCCAATTCAGTGTATTCCAGCAAGGTACATGGACGGCATGCCCACACCACTGCCAGCTGAAGCCCTTAAAAGAAAATGGGCCGTCAGTCTTCACCCATCTCCAAGCAAGGGCCTTGCCAGGCTAGGAGCATGGCAAGCAAACCTTTTTGAGGCAGGATGCTTGCAGGTTTCCAGGAGGGGTCCTTTGTTCAGAGGTACTCATTGACTGATCAAGAGACCAGCTTTAGAAGGGAGGGGTGGGGCCACTGAACGGCACTGCCATACAATAGAGCTCCGGCCTCTCAACGACCAACTGCAACCACTAGTGAGCAAGACCTCTGTGTTTGGGTCCCTTGATCCCATTTGTCTGGTTAATTCAGCAGGCCTTCCCTAAATGGGGCCACGTGGGTCCTTTCTCAACTCTCCACTAAGCTGCTGAGAACCGCATCGCTTTCATTGAATACAGCCTACTGTGGTTAATGCCTCTGCTGTGACCTCTTTCACTTCCCTCTGCTTCCCTGCGACTCGCCTGCCTCGAGTTCTGCTAACGTTTTCAAAATCAATTTCTGCAACCAATGCCCGGCCTCCTCCCCTGCACTCAGATTCCCTCGCCCTGCTGGCTTGGGCTTTGCCTCACTTTACCTGTGCTTGTGGATAAGGGCATTAAATGCCATTCCATCCTTCCAACTTGACGTGAAGTTTCTTATGTTGACATTGGAATACCTAGGGAATTCAGAAAGAAAAGAACATCTCAAAAAATTGCTTTTATTTTCAAAGTAACCACTTTACAGTTTTGACAAATAAAAATATCAGAGCATATGTTTTCAAACAGTTGCTTACACTGGCCGGTTAAAGGGCTCAGCAAAAGAGAAAGGAACAGTTAGAATAATTTACCCTGCTGTTTTCATCTGGCACCAAAGTAGGAGGGCGTCCTTTGCTGAACGTGTTTCACGGTTGTCGTGCGTCTCTACGGTGATATCCTGGATCTGAAAGGACAGATTGATGGACGCTCTTTAGTAGACTACGTAGACAATTGAAGTAAATCTCCTCAAAGCCCCATTAAAGAGCTTTCAGGATTTTGTCTTTCATATCTTTACAACAGAAAAAGAAAAGCTACACTAATCCATATTTCAAGTTCAGGAAATCTGAATAAACAAGGCAATTTCTGTAATATAAGCTGCAACTGAAGTTGGCTGACTTAAGTACTGAAGACTGGGAATAAATGAGAGAAAGGGGGAACACTGGGCAGGAAGAGAGGGAAAGAGAGTGTGGGACGAATGAAAAACACAGACGAAGGAACAATATATAAAGGGGGAGCCAAAGATGTGAGTAACTTTGATTGGTTCAGTAATTAATCAGTAACTCCTCAGAACTGCCCTCATAACTAGCATCAACGCCAGCAGTTTTCAGGATCCCTTTACAAACAACAACATTATAATTCACTGATAGTGTCTAACATAATGAGTCACATGAGATAAAATGTGTTGATATCTTACTATAATTGGTGGTAATTCTATATTCTGGTGTTATCCACCCTGACAACATTACCAAAAATCCTGCACTACAGAGTCAGGCTTCCAGTTGGTGCCACTTTTAAAAGCTATCATTTCTGTCCCTAACTCCTTGGATTCTAAGGTGATTACTCTGAGCTGGGAACCTTACTGGACGTGGTCCGTATTTGGCCTTACAGCAAGTTTCTTGTCCAAGCTGCAAAGAACAGAACCCAAGAAATAAATCACGAATACTGGCAGTATCACCCAGCAAAACCTGGAGAATTGGGAACCCTTATGTGGAGACACACATACATACTCTGCAGTTGTAATACTGAACCAGGTTAGGTGCACTACATTATTCAAGAGAGATTGCTTGAGTCTAAGGTCTTTTTCAAATTAAATGTTTCTTCACATTCTAATAGCCACATTCACTTGGACTTGGCATGAAGCCCAAACTGTTCTCAAAGCTTCCTATCATCATGTGATCTATTACTCCACGATTTATACAGTCACTTATTAGCCCCTTGTTTCTACACCTATGTGATTCCTTTAAAATGTTACTAACCTGGAAACGAAGGATGATGGTCCAGATGAGACCAAGTGTAAGCCTGTGGCTCCCATCAACAATATCATGTGACCCCATGTTTTCCAGGTGCACTTTCTGTTCTTTCAGGAACTGAAGAGCTTTGTCCACATTTTCCAAGCAGTGTATCCGCATCCGACCTTTGGTTGGCTTTGGCTAATTACAAAGATAATAACGTAATGTTTTAGTTAAAAAGGAAAACACACAATAAAATATTCATTGAATGATTGCCACTCAATGGAAGCTAATGAACCATAAGCAGTTAATACGCATATAACGTTTTTTTTCACCTGAAGGAAGTGGAAGTGGCTTTGATTTTCCCTCTTGGGCCTTACAAGTTGCATGCTCAAGTCCTTTCAATCCTCATCTGGGTGAAAGTCCATTAAGTGGCACAAAATTGACAGTAATTCATCATGGCCTGGCATTACATTGGCAAACTCATTTAGCGAATGATGGCTGGTATGAGAAATCTTAAAAATTCATACTGGATGCTCTTGGAAAGTTGGGGTTGTAGGTTAACCGTGGGAGTGGAGGAATAGTTCACAAAAATAATCCAAACTGTATCTGACCAGGGACATTTAAGGTTGATACAAGGTGCCCAAGAATGAATAAAACGGTCTCAATATTAACCTCCCTCACATTCCTGCAATGGAGGGAAAATGGTCATGGAGCGAAAAATGTAAAAATGTCCCAAGCCACTGTTCATATGCTTGTTAGAATTTTTATGGTAGTGGATTTCAGGCATACAAGGGTCTTAGTGCAGAAAAGTCACAAACATTTTTCAATCAGACTGCGACAATGTGCTTAGGAGCTGGAATTGAATTCGACAGTTGCTGGTTTGGCTTCCAAGGCTGAGGAATCCTAGTCTTGAGAGGGAGCTGGCAGGGACCAACTCAGAAAGTTATGTACATTTTACAGCACACCTTGTAGGCTGGGAGGAAACAGGAGTGCTTCTCCCCCACACTCAAAGAAGCCTTTGGCTTTCCCCACTGATTGCCGTTAATTAGATTCAAGCCAGATGGTGAAGTATGACACCAGACACAAATCCTTTTCTTCACACTAAGTTTATTTGTAGTGTGCAGCTTTTTCTTTCTCTGCCTCCTATCTACCAGCATCCCAGCAGTGACTTGGTGTATGTACCCAAGTTAGTTGATCATTCAATCCCCTCCAACTATTTATCCTTAACCTTGTCAGTACAACTAACACAACATTGACAACTTCGATCTGTAATGCACTGAAAACAGCCACCTCCCTTTCTCTTCCATTGCCGATGCTTTAATCCTGCACCTCCCCCCCACCCCACTCTCTCCCAAGGGTTGCCTTACCACATGTTAGCCAGTCAAGCTGTCAATTTGGCCAGCTGCTTCGGGAGAAGGCAAGAGAAATGTAATTAAAACTCAGCAGGAATTCTGCACGGCTATCCTTGCCAAGTTTATCACCTTGCACCTCTGTGCCCTCCCAGCCTCCCTCAAGTATCCAGGCCAAGTGTTTTCACTACAGGGCACTAATTGGTAACCATAAAAGTTAAGAAAAATAAAAATTATAATCATGCACACAAAAAAAGAATTTAACAGATCAGCTCCATAACATTTCCAGCCAATGAGTAGATAAACAACCTAGACTGCAGACTTTATAATGACAGAGTATGTTTTCTCAATATAGGAGATAAGGTGTTGTCATTAAACATGGCCACTGAGATCTATCTGCACCCTCAAAGCAACGGCAACAAGAAACAACAGGAACTAGAATAGAGTTTTGACAGACATTAACGTAATGGTTCTTGATGCACTTTTAAAAGTTGCAAATCATAGAGTCGAGGAAGTGCATTAAGTGAGAAGTGTTAAACAGAAGCTGATGGACTGTAGAGTCAGTCTGATTTCAGTGCAGCTAAAAATAGCAGGACAAAATGGACATCTCCTGAATGGAGAGAGATAGTAGGATATGCAGATGCTGGAGAATCCGAGACAACAAGGTGCAGGGCTGGATGAACACAGCAGGCCAAGCAGCATCATAGGAGCAGAGCTCCTATGATGCTGCTTGGCCTGCTGTGTTCATCCAGCCCTGCACC